GCGCAAGCCTTTAAACACAAAAATGATCGTACTTGCTAGACTGAATTACCAGCCTTTGTGTTACCGCGGACATCCAAACTGACTGAACATTATCAATCAGGAGTTGATGGGCTAACAAAGTGTGTGAGGCTTTTTCGATATTTTTATTGGTTGCTTAGGAAATCCCTGGACAACAGAAAATTTTCTAACTGCTGTTACTCAATGGGACATCACAGGAAAAATATTTCGATTTTTGCAAAAGCCTCACACACTTTGGTGTGCTAATATCTGACGAAGATTTTGGACAAGTTTCGTTAAAATCCAATAAATCTAAATACTGTATTAGTTCATTTGAATAGAGGTAATTCACACAAAAATAAACCATTTTCGGCCTTCAAAGAAATTTACAGTTTTCGCACCTCACTGAAATGGTTGTCAACGTGGCCATGCCACCAACCAGTGAAATGCAGCTTTGAACTCCCCAGCAGGCTACAGTAATGCTTCTTGGGAATGAATGTGCAATGTTTACATCTACACTATATCTTTATATCTTACATCGGGAGTAGCGAAGTCTGCTGTGAAACATTCAGCAGCTAATAAACTGAATCAGCAGATAAATGCTAAAGAAGGAAAAGGGAAAAAAGAGGAATGATAGCGGAATAGCCTTGAACAGGCTTACTGAGTCGAGTGAGGATATTTATATGTTTTTAAAAAAATTCTGAACACGTATTTCATTGGCCTGTTTGTTTTACTGGAATATGGAAAAACACTCTTTGAAGCAGAGGAAAGGAGGGTTTGGAGAAGCTGCTTTGTCTGATATAAGTGATTAAATTCGTGGGTAATTCCCAGGGCATCGATGAAAACATTCGCTTGCGGATCCTTGTGATTTACGCTTCCATTCAAATGTGGGAACGTGAAGAGTGTGCAAAATCGCCTTGTCTATCACTTACACTGGAAGAGACAAAAACAATCAACAAAAGCGAAGATTTCTGTAATTACTTTGCTCAAAAAATCCTGGATTTTTTTTTCTTTTTGAATAATTTGGCACTGCCTTTGAAAGCAAAAAAGGCCCGTTTTTGTTACTGTTATTATAATAAGTACACTTATGCACATTATTATATCTGAGCTGACTTGCAATGCCAGAAGTGAACAAACAGCCTTGCAAAGGGTGATTATATGTACATCAAATGCCTCACTTTCACTTAATAGCCAAAGGCTAATTAATAAACTTGTGACCCTCGGAAAATAAAATTACAAACCTAATGAAAAATGAACAATACTATGAATACAAAATAATAGTAATACAATATAATAAAAGTTAAAAACTTAAAATTTTGAGAGACATGAATAGTTGAATTACAATAATACGAAAAACTTCCTTGGATATAAAAGCTCAAACCTAAAATGGTCTTAGAAATGTTGCTGTGCTGCGAAGATCACTCTAAGGTTACACAATACCTTGAGAGTGCTACTTTGTTAAATTTTTCGTTTTAAACAAAACAAAGACGTTGCTATAAAATATAACATTTCCCAAAAACTGGAAGTAAAATCTTAACCTGCATGTGAGTT